CCTCGGGCCGCGCAGCTGGATCCCCGGCCTCTCCCCTGCGCCTCAGTACGCGGTAGGACGCGCCCTCGTGGCGGAGTCGGACGGTGACCCCTGACAGCCCGCGGGCGCCCAACCGAACTCGCCCTCACTTTGTTCTTTCCCCACCCCATTGTTACTGACAAGGAGCATGAATGGGCCGACGCTGGCCGCAGCGTCTTCCCAGGCAGTCGGACGGTGACCCCTGACAGCCCGCGGGCGCCCAACCGAACTCGCCCTCACTTTGTTCTTCCCCCACCCCATTGTTACTGACAAGGAGCATGAATGGGCCGACGCTGGCCGCAGCGTCTTCCCAGGCCGTGACACGTCGCCCTACAAAGACGTTCACTTTTTAATTAGTTCCTTAAGGACTCAGAACAGCCACCTCCCATCATACCTACCCAAGCCCAAGTGCAGCAGATGACCCTGCTTCTGGTTTTACAAAGAAAATAGAGCTTATGAGGTTTGATTTCCCCCGGCTCCTTTCTCTTCCTCAAACCCTTGTCTTCCTCGGACCCCATTCTTACCTCCTGCCCATTCTGTTACAGTGACAGATGTCCCTCCTCATGCTGAAGGTCAATCTGCCCACCTGTGCTCTGACTCTGTCCTTTCCTACGTTAACTGGGAGGGCGTCTCCAAAAGCTGAGATGCATCACCTAGTCCGCCTTCAAGAAAGGATTTGTCCTACCTTCTGGAAATGCTGTTAGCAGAAAGCCTTCTGCTGTGGCCTCCTGCAGGGCCTGTGCACCCTTCCCCGGGCAGCCCACGTCCAGTGACTGATGGCAGCACCATGAAGGACAGGCCACTGTGGCCCAGTGCAGGACAACTCTGACGGGCCATCATAGCTCCAGAGTGCCCATAAGGTCAGCCGAGAGAATGTTCACCTTGCGCTATCAGGAGAAATCAAGGGTGGATGATGAGGAGGCTGACTTCAGTCATCCCGATGAGATATTAAGATCCTTTGCTCAGTTCCTGGACCTGGAACCTGACAATTGAAGAGGTGGCTAAGTCCTCTGCACCGCCATGGCAAGTGTACACATGGTGATTGCCCCAGCTCTTCCCCAAGGGAAAGAGGAAAACCCAAACATTTCAAGGGTCAGAACTGAAATTGACATCTGGAGACCTGAAGTGTCATCATGGTCCTTCTGCTGGGGTGGGGAACCATGCACACAGGAACCACGCAATAAACGAAGTCCTGGTGAAGGGACCCATCAAGGGTCATTTCCCTGGTCTGTGAATGTATTTGGGATGGACATACTTGGAAGCTGGAATAGTACCCACACGGGGTCCATGGTCTATGGGGTAGGAGCTATCGTAGTGGAGAAAGCCAAATGGAAACCTCTAAAATCAACACGTCTTCTCCAGTCAAGCAAGCAAATAAAAAACAATATTGCATCCTGGGGAGGAATGGTGGGAACTAGTGCCACCCTTAAGGATCTCAAGGATGCAGTAATGGTAGTCCTTGTCATATCTCTATTGAATTCACCAGGCAAATCCTGGAAGATAACAATAGACTCCCATAAACCCAACCAAGAAACAATGCCAGTTGCAGCTGCCACCGCAGCTGTGGAATCTTCACTAGTGCAGTATGAGGCATGTGGTACATGGCCAAGGGTTGCAAACGCATTACTTTCTACTGCACTCAGGAAAAAGAAGCAGAACCAGTTTGTGTTCACATGGGATTAACAACAATATTCATTACAGTTTTGTCTAGGGCCCTGTTAGCTCTCTGTCTGAAGAGGCCTGGACGTGCCACAGGATGCCACATTGATGTGTTACGAAATAGTCACCTCTGTCTCACCAGTGCCTCTTCTTCAGTTCACATCTGTGGCCACTTGGGAAATCCCACAGGAATAGTTGAAGAATGCAGTAAAAGCCTGAGCCTTGCTTCTGGATGGGTCCGTGTGTGGATGCAAGCTAACCAGGGACGGCCTGGTCATCCACTCTGTGCACAGAGCAGTGGCCCAAGGTCAGAGTATATACAGACTCATGGGCAATGGTGAGTGGCCTGGCTGGGCTGGTCAAGGACTGTATGGAGAAAGATTGGAAGCTGGAGGTCATGAAGTCTGGGTAAAGGCCTGTGGATGGGTGTCCATGTAGTGGCAACGCTGTTACATCACATTATCTATCACTTAGTAGAGAACGCCCACCACAGAAGAGGAGTTAAACGACTATGTCAGTCAGTAGACATTAGTCAGCCTCTGTCTTGCACCACCCCAGGGCTGGCACAATGGACCTGTGGACAAGATAGCCATGGTAGCAGAGGTGATGCATGGGCCCAAGAGCATGGAACTCCACTCACTAACGTTGATCTTGCTCCTGCTGCCACCAAACATCCTATCCAACAGCATCAGAGACCTAGGGCAAGACTCCAGTATGGCCTTTGATTCAGGGTGTACACAGGGTCCTGGAGGATGAGGATGGCTCCCCAACCTCATAAATTACCATCTCGGTGGGTGGCAGCTTCTGGGTGGTGCAGAGTATGTGGTGTGACCCAGAGACCCCTGGCCCTGAGCCCACTCCCTGCCTCTTTTATCGAAACATGTGATGTTGTATAAATCCCACGTGGGAAGATCAGACATTCTGTAAGCGTCAGATTTATTGGGGAGGGGAGCCAGCCTCCAGGACCCTGTGTACACCCTGAATCAAAGTGCTTTATGTTGTGCTATGTCCCCAATACAAAGACTACGTGAGTCAGGGAGCCAAGGGGTGGGAGCAGAGCAGTCCCACTTACCATCACTACCAAGGGTCTGTCTAGGGGATTGTGCCTCCGAAACTGCACTGTGGACTGCAGGACTAGAGGTCCCGTTTCCCAAAGGAGGAACACTTTCACACGGGACACAGCAAGAGCCCTTCTAAGCAATGAGCTGTGGCTGCCACTGGGCACTTTGGGCCCCAATGCGGTCAGCTGAGGCTCTGGGGTCTGCATCGCAACTTTTCTTATCCCTCTGCCCAATCCTGCTCCCCTCCCTCCCTGCCCAAGGCTTCTTCCTAATAAGTATAATAAATATTCAGATTGAACTCTCCCTTCCAATTTGCTTTCTGGAGAACCCAGCCTGGATCAGACTCCCTCCATGGCTTGTTCTCATCTGGCTTTAAGCATCCCTGTACCAATTCGTCCATGGCTGTGATTTTGCTCTTTGGCTAACCTTTAAAGTATGACTCCACAGCCAGGCTGCTCTTAGAGCCGCATGCATACCCAGCTGCTGACCGCTGCCGTCACTACCTGACTGTACAAGGCACCTGGCCCCTTGGAACGCTCACCCCTCTTCCCCTCTCCGCCCTGCCCCACGCCAGATTGCCTTGCTGTGTGACCTCCAGAGGAGAACGGACAGCACTCACTCCGTTTCCTGAGCCTACACTCAGGCATCTTCCCCGTCACTGCAAACAGCACTGCCTGTCCCCCCCCCCCCCCCTTTCCCGAGCCCACCCCCCGGCCTCTTCCCCCTCCCTGCAAAAAACCCCGCCCGTCCCCCCCCCCCCCCGATCCAGACCATGTCCATCTCGGCCTGGACTGCTGTGATGACATTCTGACTGGCTTCCTTGCTTCTTGTTTCACCAGCTTCCAATTTGTCTTTCTCACTATTACCAGAGGGATCTAAAGAACCAATAAACCCGATCATGATACATCCTCTAATAAAAAATTTTTCAATAATGTTTAGCTTAAAAGCCATTGCAGATACATGAGTCCCCTCACTAGCTGCCATCTCCTTCATGTCTGCCCCTTCTCTCACCTCCTGACTTTGAGCTTAGGCGATACTGAACTCCTGGAGGTGGCCAGCACCCCCATGGTGCCAATTTGCCATGTGCATCATTGTACACAGTGCCCCTGGGCCTGGGCCTGCCCCAACGCACCTATCTGAGAAACTGTGTCCTGAAGTCAGCCCCAACACCACCCCTCAGGGAGCCTTCCCAGGCTTGCTGGCTGCAGCTTCTCCTGGCCTTCATTTTTATCTCCCCCAGAGCAATCATTTTACGTGTAATGGCTTTTTTGCAAGACTGTTTTCCCTCTCAGGAAGCTCTTAAGGAAAGCAACAGAGTCTTTCATCTTCAGTGCAGGGCACAGCCGGGGACCCTGCACATCATGGGCATAAAGCAAATAGTGATTGAATGACTGGGTGAGTGAGAGAACACGCAAAGTCCCATTGAGGGCTCTACTCATGGCTCCAACACTAATGAGCTCTATGTCTCTATTCTAGGTCTCTGTTACCTGAGCTGTAAATTGAGAGGACTGGCTTAGATTGTCCCTAAGGCACCTTCCAGAGCTAATACCCTATGCAGATCAGGTGGGAATGCAGAATGGTTAACAAGACCCTCCCCTGCCCGGCCCCAAGAAGAAGGGTGTAATTCCGCAAGGAGCCACTAGGGGGCAGGTGGGAAGGAAGCGGGCGCCTAGATGCAGAGCAGCTTTGGTTTACAGAGAGCAGCCGGGTAAGTCCTGGGGTTCCCGCTCTCTACTGCAGAACTGCCAGAGACTGTCTTTTCTACAGGCTCTGCAATTGTACAACACTCCGATGAAGCAACAGGCTCCGTTCCCTGGGCAGTCCACAGCCCACAAATGCAAAACCAGCCAGCAGCAACAGGAGAAAGAGGCCAGTTTAAAGGGAGAAGGCAAGCTGGCCTTAGGGGTTCTGACTCATCCGTCTCCTCTTTCTGCCACCAGTTTGGGTTGTGAGCCTTTGTCTGGAGTGAGTTTCATTAGGAACCAAGAATCACGGGATTTTAGGTGATGGGTAAGAAAACCATTCCAAGGGAATGACTCTGTCAACTTCTTTCCAGATGTGGTAAGGGGACCCTGGGGTTTATAATGAGGCCGTCCACAAATGGAGCTGTCCCCTGGGATGTTCATAGTGCCATCAATGAGTCATAAGAACTTCCAGGATGTTGACATGGAGTCACTCATGAACAGATCTTTGGTTCTTTAGTCCAAAATCAAACCCAAACTCAGTTATATGCTGTATTAGTTCATTTTCTGTCACTTAGAATACCTGAAACTGGGTAATTTATAAAGAAACAAAATTTATTTCTTAGAGTTTTGGGGGCTGTGAAGTCCAAGGTCAAGGAATGCATGTGGCAAGGGTCTTCTTCTTGGTGGTGACTCTTTGTAGAGTCCCAAGCCATTACAGGGCATCACATGGCCACAGGGTGCTCACTTAACGTGCTCACTTGCTCTCCTTATAAAGCCACCAGTGCCTCTCTCATGACAACCCGCTAATCCATTAACCCACTAATCCATAAGTGGATTAATCCATGCAGGAGAGAATAACCCTCAAGACCCAATCACCTCCCAAAGGTGATTTCTCTCTCAACATTGCCACATTGGGGATCAAGCTTCCACAGGAGTTTGGAGGGGACCAGCACACAGATGTAGCATACGCCGTGGCTGGTATGTGGTGTCTGGGTTAGTGATGGACTAGGTTATACTATGGTAACATTTTAACTCTGAGATGTCAATGGCTTGATGTGAGGAAGTCTATTTTTAGCTCATGCTGTAAGTCTAGCTTGGGATGGGAGGAGGGGGCAGGGGAGCCAGTGGGGGGACTCTGCTCCATGTTGTCCTTCAGGAACCCAGGCTGACAGGGCACCCACTGCCTGGATTGCTGGGCCTGTTCTGTTTATGCTCTGATCGAGAAGTGACATGTCATGTCCACTCATAGCCCATTAGCCAGAAATGGTCACCTGTTGCTGTCTACCTGGGACGATGGGTGCAGAGTGTGGGGAGCAGATGGGGTGCCTGATGAGCACCGCTGTCCCTGCCACAGTAACAGAAGTGATGAGTTACTGTGATTTACCACATCTGCCAACCCATGCAGAGCCCCTAGTGGGCCTGTTGCTGAGAGATGTCGCCCAAAGCTGTGCTCTCCACCCCAAGTGATCAAACTAGCTTAAGTCTTTTTCTAATGTTAAGACTATATGCTAATTTGCATTCTGCTCTAAATCTGTTTCTACTAAAGCCAGCACCCTCTCTGCAACGGGACCTACGAGGTCTCCTTCTGCCTGTTACTATGGATGACTGTTGTGTGCTCTGAGCTGCAGGGACCCCTCCCCCAGGCATGAGTTCCCACCTCCCCTCACCCTCTCAAGGATACCACACGAGTGGTTTCTGCCTCTCTCTCCGGCTCCGTCGATTTTCACCTCTCTGCTAGACTATCTGCAGCAACATGCAGACACACTTAGTTTTCCCATCTTAAAACATTCTTTCCTTTAATTCCACATTTACTCCGATCTCTACTTCCCTCCGCTGCAGAACTCCTGGGGAAAGGTTTTCTGTGTGCTGTCCCCTTTCTCTCCT